TTCAGAAGTTACTTTACTATATGCTCTTTGAAGTCATACATTTCTCCAAACTCTAAGATGAAATGTCATTTGAAAACAACAGGATCATGTCTTGGATGGACATTTATTTCCGCCCTTTATGTTATTTAATTATTTTCTCAATCACCTTTTATCCCCCATATACCCTCTTCCACCTCCACCCACCCCCTCACCACCCTGAAGTCGCCACACTATTGTCCGTGTCCATGAGTTCTCTCTTTTTTTCTTTTGTTCTCAATCCCTTCCCCTCTCCCCCCGCACTCCAATCACCACCGTCACCAGAGCTGCCTGCCTGCTGTCTTTCTATGAATGTGTCTCTATTTTGCTTATTAATCCATTTTGCGAATAAGTAACCCATTTCAACACTTGACGCTACCTTGGTCCTGTGTTTTAGGTATTGGTTGGTGATCTTTCACTGTTTGTGTCACATTTTACTCTGGGTTTTTCAAGAGGATTTCAAAGACCACCCCTGGCTGATCTTCACGCTGCTTAAACTACACTTACCTGTAGACAGTGGCGTGGTCACACTGTCACCAGCAGTGGCTGTAGGTGCTGGGCAGGGCTCAGTATTGCATCTCACCGCTGGCAGTGACTAAAATTCCCCAAAATTCACCTGGCGGCTTAGTGAGAACCACGCGGAAGAAAACAAAGAGGCAAACAAGCCCCAAGGCCACTGGGCTCGCTCTGGGCCTTCAGACTCTGATTTTCCCGGTAAAAGGTGGTCAGTGCACATTGTTAACATGTTCTGCGCGTCCTTCTAATGTAGTCGGACAACAGGTTTTCAGAAACATTCATTTAAATTTATTTTAAAATTTTCTTTTCAATTTTGCCATCAATCTTTCCCAGAAAACAAACACATGTTTTAGGAACATTTCTGCACATTTCAGTGCACCGATGCTTCAGCGTGGACGACAGAAGCTTTTTAAACAATGGGACAGTCTCCGTGGCATCCGGATTCTTCCCAACACATTTCCTGTAAACGCCCTCACTGCGTGTTTTGTAGTGTCCTTCACACCTGGTGGTACTGTGGACAGTGAGTAGCTATTGCAATAGCTGTTTGAAGTGGTGGTTTCTTCAGTGTCGAGTATATTTAAAAAATAAATTTAAAATTTAATACCCACATGGATCATAAAACTATACTATGAATCAAGAATCAACAAATTCTGTGCACCTGTTGTACAATTTTTAAAAAGACAAAAGTCTCCACGTACAGGTTTTTTTTTTTTTAGTGTTTTTTTTAATATATTTTATTGATTTTTTACAGAGAGGAAGGGAGAGAGATAGAGAGTTAGAAACATCGATGAGAGAGAGACATCGATCAGCTGCCTCCTGCACACTCCCAACCCCCGGGGATGTGCCCGCAACCCAGGTACATGCCCTTGACTGGAATCGAACCTGAGACCTTTCAATCCACAGGCCGATGCTCTATCCACTGAGCCAAACCGGTTTCGGCTCCACGTACAGGTTTTAAGAGAACCAGTCAGTTACACTGTGACGCGCACACGCAGTAGACAAGAGGATGCTTTTAGGCGCGTTTCCTCCACGCAGCTCTGCACGTGCACACTCTCCTGCCTGTGTCTGTGGCTGGTGGGGATCTGGCCCTTTCTCTCCCAGCTGCGTGGCCACCGTTCCAGGGAGGGAGAGGCAGGGCCGGGAGCGAGGCCACTGGCCAGGCCTCCAAGGGGGGCTCTCAGCTCCTCTTAGCGCCAGAGACTTCCGGTGGGTGGACATCCATTTCTGAAAGAAGGCGAAGGCCCCGGAGACCGGCCAGGCTGGTAAAACATGAAGCCATTGTTCCTGCGCTTCCTCCTTTAGACAGAAGTCCAGCCTATAGCTTACTTAACAGAAACTTTAGGTCCATTAAGTTTCCGTTCAGTAAAGTCCCGATATTTCAAAGCACTTGGTGTAGGAAAAGGTGATACATTATAATGACAGATAGGCAGGCGAAATGGACAGATGGTGCATATACCAAAAAATCACAAAGAGCTAAAAAAAAAACCCCAACACAGAGGTTTTCATTCACTGAACAGGAAGCATGTGTGGGTGACTGTGTAAGCGTTACTCAAATTAGCCTCATCAGCGGCTCCATGAAACATGTGCAATCACTGCATTCCACCGGCCAGAAAGCGGGAAGGTAACGGATGAACTCGCTGGCGCCTGGCAGCGGGACAGTCACTGTGAATCCTCCTCAGAGGCCGCCCCTCATGCTGCGCGCCCATGTCCCGCGTGCCCTTCGCGGGAGGGGAACAGTCCTGCGTCCCCGTGTGCAGTGACACAGGGAAGCTTCGAGGAACTCAGCGCCGTGTCTAACGTCAGCTGGTGAGAGGGAAGCCCAGTCCCCACTTCGTGCTCATCGAACCCACAGAGGAGTCAGTGCCCTTGACCTCTGGGCCACCTTGAGCTTCGTGGAGCCACAGAGAGGGGACCACGGAGTCGTCCAGCATGTGCTGTGGCTGAACGCCTGGTCCCTGGCCTGGAGGGCCCGGTGACGCCCCCACCTGTTTGCTGGAGGGACTAGCACCCACCGTGGACTGGGACGTTTTCTCGTGGCTGACTAATGAGGAGGCTCATTGAACAGAAGAGTCAATGCTGGTGGCAATGGCAATGGAAACTGAGCAGCTGGGAGAAGCAGCCGCCTCCCCCCTCAGGGCACCGAGCGCCTCCACCATCCGGAGAGTGAAACGTCGCAGGAAGAACACAACACCACGGAGCGCATGCGGAGGAAGGCGGGCAATTCACTCAGCTTTCCGTTGGCTGCCCTTTCGAAAGCCCAGTCATCTTTGTGTGCCCTTGGAGAGTGTGGCTGTAGGTTTGGTTTTCATTACATGCGTTAACACACTGTTCAAAAATCAACTGAATTATCTACAAACACTACATGACAGAGAGGCATGTTGGCACGGCGGAGGGATGTGTTTCTGCCAGGGACACTGGGCACCAGGTCATTCGAGAGAGGCCGTTTCCAAACACAGGAACTTAGGTCTTCACACAAGTTGGTGCTCCTCCTGTGAGACTGTACTTCTGTCTGGCTGCTGCCTATCCATCCACGGGGCTCTGCCTGCTGCCTGTCCATCCATGGGACTCCGCCTGTTACCTATCCATCCACGGACTCCGCCTATTGCCTGTCCATCCACGGGACTACGCCTGTTGCCTATCCATCCACAGGATCCCATGCATCTGGTCTGTCATCTGCTCGGTGGGAGCCTGGGCTGGGAGGCCAGAGACCAGGTTTGAGGTAATTTTAACCGATGAGGATGGTGAGCATTTATTCATTTACCTCACAAGTACTCAGAGCACTCACTTTATGGTGAAATCGCTAGAGGCAGAATGTGCTAAGCCAGAGAAGACATGCCCGGCCCGTTTCCCAGACTCTCTGACGTGGTCACCCTGGTGGTTACAAAGGGATCAGTTAGCATCTCCAGTTTGGCTGGGGGTGAGGAAAGGGCAACCTCTATGAAGGGACAATCCCCAAACGGGCCCCGTGAGTCCCACATCCACAGGACCAGAGCTTTCTCGGCTGATTCCCTGGAATCGCACAGCAGGCACAGGGCCTGGCACAGGGGGCTCACAAACACACTCTGTGTCATTGATACAAATTCATATCTGTCTGTTTGTTTTTTGTCCTCAAAGGCACAGACTAAATTTCCATTCTTGGTTTTGCATGATGATTTTGTTTCATGTGAAAATTCAAGGCCTTGGGGGTTGACAGCAGCTTTTATTGGGGAGGCGGAAAAACATTCTGTGAACACAATGAGGCACGCGGGTCCCGTGCCCCCACCCCCTGAGTCTCCAGGAAGACAGTTTGGCTGAAAGAACAGAAACGCCCGTGCTGGTGGAAAGAGCAGGGAGCGACCGGCCCTGTCCTGGGTCCAGAAGCTCAGAGATGATGTGGGGTCAACTCAGACAACCTCCAGCTTTAGTTTAAAGAGAAAAGGAAATTCATTTGGTAGCATTTTTCTCTAAGTTTGTAGAAATACTCATGGATATAAAAGTGCTCACACTGGTGCTGAGGCCGACTCCTTGTGGGGAAGCCATTTTCAAATGTCACCTATGAACGAACATGTCTCATTTTTTAAGAGTCAGCCTTTCTCGGGTTTCTTTTGTCTGCCTTTTGAGGAGGAGGAGGCTCAGATTCCTTGTCCTGGGGTTGGAGGGCCTGTGGGTGGGAGGAGGGCCTGTGGGTGGGAGGAGGGCCTGTGGGTGGGAGGAGGGCCTGTGGGTGGGAGGAGGATCTGTGAGTGGGAGGAGGGCCTGTGGGTGGGAGGAGGGTCTGTGGGTGGGAGGTGGGAGGAGGGCCTGTGGGTAGGAGGAGGGCCTGTGGGTGGAAGGTTCCTGGTCCCTGGGCTCAGGTGCCTTGAGGACATCCTTCTTGGCTTAGAGGACGGTGCTCAACACAGACCCAACATGCACTAGACTGTGTCTGGTTCGCTTTAGGGTAAGCACTGTGTCCATAGCATTTCGTCCTGCAGCTCAGCATTTTTGAACAACGCCTTTCAGGAAAATTAATAACTGCCCTTCGGGTTTTAGGAAATCCATTCCCAGACTCTCGCTGATACGATGGTGGCGGCCTTGGAGGTCATGACTCTGAGCGGGAGCACGTCAGGTCCTGGGATTTGTTTCCAGGAAAAAAACACCTCGGCTCCTCTCTCCTCCCGGGGTCGGCCTGCTCTCCCGTGTGCCCTCGGCCCGGCATCCCCGCTCTTCTCAGCAGGTGATGGATGGCCCGGCGCTGCTGCCCGGGAAATGTCCTCGGAGCCCATGTAAATGTCTTCCTGGAAACAGCGATGTGTTCCTGCAAGACTTTAAATAACACTCGCGGCCGCCCTCGCTCATTTGATAATGGATCTCTCCTCTCTTTCTTCTCCTCGTTCATATTTCTCCCACCGACGCTTTGTCATTCTGGTCTATGGCTTTGTTTAACTCTCTGAGGCTATTTATACCATTTGCATGAAAAATGCCACATAAAACAAAATCGTACCACTGCATAGATTAAGGGAACTCACTTTATAATGTTTGATTAATTTTGACTACCTTTTCCGTAATAAATTAATACAAAATGCGTTTCATCATATGTTATGGAGATGTGTCATACATAAGGAATTCCCCATGCTCGCCTTTAATCAACACTTTTTACCAAGTTCCATTAACAGCCATAAAATGCTTTTAAGTTCTTCACGGGCATCCAGACAACATGAACTGACCCCAAGGAAAACAATTCCATATTTTCACCTTAAATATTATATTTATGTGGCAGTAAATAAAAATTAGCAGGGTTTTGCTTCTAATTGTTTTGATCATTTCTAGGCAAGCGATTTTTTACATAAAGCATATCCCTAATTAGGAAGCTTTGGTGTAAAATATTCAGTGACGAGACAGAGCTTGACATTTTAAGAGCTCAGCTCAGTCCCAGCTCAGTGAGTGAATGTCAGCTGCTTCGCACCCGGGGCCCCCGTGGCTGCAGCGTTAGGTCGGGAAGAGCAGTGGTCGGCCTCCCCCCGGGTCCCGGGACTGCTCTGTGCTCGGCTGTGACGGTGATGGTGGGACTGCTCTGTGCAGACGGAAGCAGTGGGCTCATGGAGGCTGTAATGACGACAGATGCCAGGTCTCCATAAAAATGCCTCTTTATTATGTCCGTAGGCCGCGCTGTCCGTGCCCAGGGGAACCTCGTGCTCTGCAAACAGTTCAGCCAGTAGACCCGTCACAACGTCAGTGAAGGTGCGAGTCGGGGGTTCGTCCCAGAGGCAGTTTCCCCTCCGACCTCCTTCCACGTCCTCTCTCGCAGCCGCCTGGGGCCTCTGCCCTGGGAACGGTGCCCACTTGGGCTTGGTCCCTATAGTCCTCTGCCTCCTGCTCTCCCAGGGCCCCAGGGCACAGCACCAGCAGCCCCTGGTCACGCTGCCAGGCCCTGGAGGGCCCGCCTCCCGCTCATCTCAGCGGCCTGGGTCCCAGCCCGCCAGCCCCTCAGCAGAGAAGCGGGGAAAGCACTCACCTGAGTCACAGGCCTGACTCCATGGCCCCAGCACAAGGGCAGCACCAGGCGCTCTAGCCTCCTGTTTACATAAACTGTCACCACCCCGCCACCCCCCGCCCATGGGATGCATTTGCTGTTGCACAAGAACGAATGATGATGGTAACTAATTACACTTGATTGATGGGGACTCAGAGCCCTGAGCCAGGGTCCCAGCATCCACACCTGATTGCCTGTGGGGTGTGCGCCCCCGGACCCAGATCCCAGCACAGGGGGCGGGGTGTGTGTTATTATCACTGAGTCCCCAGGACAGGCTGTTTATGCAATGGGGGTAACAGCCCACAGCTCAGTTTTTTTAAAAAAATATATTTTTATTGATTTCAGAGAGGAAAGGAGAGAGAGAAACATCAGTGATGAGAGAGAATCATTGGTCAGCTGCCTCCTGCAGCCCCTGGCATGTGCCCTGATGGGGAATCCAACTGGCAGCTTTCAGTGACAGGACTGAGCTCCGACCCACTGAGCACCTCTGGCCAGGCTCCCACCCACCCTTCCTGATGCCCGAGCTGGGTGGGCACGGCGACTACAATTGTAATACGCTTCCCAAACCTGAGGAAATGTCCTGTTTTTTACTTTAAAGCTTAGGGCTTCCACACACCTTCTCAGAAAGACATTCTTTAAAAAGAGATAAGCAGGCCTATGTCGCCATTTAACTTGAACAGCATTTTAACCAAATGATGCCAATAGGCAGACTCCCCAGCGTGACTGCATTGCAGGCTGGGGAACCAGACTGGTCTGACGCATCGCACTCTGTCGTTATGTGTTCTCTTTAAACAGTGAAACATAACGGACTCTGATCTGCGGGGGGATGGAGAGCAGGCCCACGGGCTGCACGGGCTGGGCGCCGGTGAGGGCAGGGCGGCCCCCTCCCCCCAGGCCTGCGGTCAGGGCAGGCGACTGTGCCCGGCCACTTCTTACGTCTTGTCCCCCCGCAGGACATTGTCTCCATGGCGACACTTCCTCAGGCTCTGGCTCTGGAACCGCACGGACATTTTCCTTTCAGCGTTTACAGCTCAGCCAGATGGAAGGGAGCAGGGAACATGGAGAAGCTTCGCGGGGATGGGCGTCGCTATCACACTGCCCCTAACAGGCGCCCGAGCTTCCTTTCCACCAGCCCTTCCTCATGCCGCTGCAGCATGGAGCTGCCCCCACCGCCACCCCACCACTCCCACCCCCGGCCTGCACTGTGTGTGTAGATGTCATAACCCAGACCTTCCTGATTTTCCACTCAAGGAAAATCTAGGCTCCTTTCTAGCTGTAAGTGTTATTTATTACAGAGCAGGAGCTGGTGGCGAAGGGTCTACCTCTGCATGAATTATTTCTCCAGGAAAGTGAGAGTCACCGGCCGAGAAGGGGGCCCAATATCCACCAGGGGTGGGGGGAGGTGGCAGAAACACTGTAGGAATTTGTGACTTGAATTTTATTGATTTTCATTCTTATGCAGTTTCACGCTTTAAAAATTAATGCTTTTAATTTTCTTTTTAAACTTTCAATAGCCATCAAAAGCAGTGAATATTGCAAATGCAATGAGAAGACGGCTTCACAAGAGCATTTTGAGGCATGTTTATTTTTTGGAAGGAAATGCCGTGAAACGGACCCAAGAGAAGTTAAGTGCGAGTGTGGACAGCAAGTGGAGCTTTCCTTACCGACACCCCAATGGCTGTGAGGACGTGGCCAGCCCTGTGGGGACAGCCCTGCAAACCCAGATTCAGTAGCGAATCTCTCACAATAATGCAAATGTCTATTTTAAATTGAGAGGAATTAATAAAAACCTGTTACAAACAGCCACAGGATTGTCTGCAGAAATACTTTCAACAAGAACCTGTTTTGTTTGTTAAGGTTCTAGACAGTTTTCTACAATTTCCTGAAAGGAACTTAAACCTTTTGTTTCCTAGTCAAGCCTACTCTAAGGTCCGATATCCTAGCCCCGCCCTTATATCCATGGGACCCCCCCAGGGGTTCTGCTCATGCACAGTCCATGCCTAAGTGGGGCGAGGGTCTGCAAATGGACTGAGCCCTGATGATTGTAGGTATTGGGCATTGTGTTCAGCATTAAAGGTGTTGTCTATGGCTGTATATCGTGACTAGAGGCCTGGTGCACAAAATCTGTGCACTGGGAGAGGTCCCCCAACTGCCCTCCCCTGCCGGCCTGAATGCCCACAACTGCCCTCTCCTGCCAGCCATCTTGTGGCAGCCATCTTTGACCACATGGGGGCGGCCATCTTGTGTGAGGACTTGACAGCCAATTTGCATATTAACCTCTTTATTATATAGGATCCTATGCTCATTTGTACTGTTGTGTGGTGTGCTGTGATACTGCATGGACAGTCCATTTATTACTCACTATTCTAGTTGATGGGAATTTGGGCCTCTCTAGCTGGTCATGACTAGTGTTACTGTGCTCATTTTCTCATCGCCGCGCATATATAGTTATCTCTCTTTAGTATATACCTAAACACATGAATGCTGAAGTTATATGATACTAAAATATTCAGCTTAGATTCTGAAAAATGGCTTTCCAGGGTGATTCCTACCAACAGGAGAACATTATTCTACACACTCCACATCCTTCCCAACATTAGTATTGCTGGCAGTCTTTTTAAAATTTTAATAATGTGTGGCAATTATGTATTTGTTTTGTTCTGATAACTGGTGAGGTTGAGCATTTTTTCTCATGTGCATTGGTCATTTGCATATTCTATTTTGAAAAGTGTTTAATTATCTGAATTCATTTTTCTATTGTATTCCCAGTCCTTTCTGTTGGTTTGTAGGAACTCCTCTGTGTTCTAGAAGATGGCATTCCTTTTGTGTGTTACCGAAGCCTTCCAGTTTGTATGTAGCATTCTCATTTGGACAGTGGTAGATGCCATTCGATGAACAGAAATTCTTAATTTTAATTTAGCCCAATTTAGCAACTCTTTTCTTAGAGATAGATTTTCTCCCTGAGACATATGATGACCTAAGACCACAACAATATGATTCTGAGTTACTACTAAAAGCCCTTTAGTTGGTTAACGTTCAACCATGGGTTAACAGTCCATCTAGGACTTTGTGTTTGCATCTAGTATGAGGAATGTATCAATTTTTCTTTTTCCATATGAGTAACCAATTGGCTCTGCATCATTTATTTAAAATGACACCCTTTCCCTGTGGAATTATAGTTGTTATAAGTCAAGTACCTAATACGCAGGTCTGTTTCTGGACTCTTAATTATGCGTCACTTATGAACGTGTCTGTCCTTTGGCCTATGCCACACTGTCTTGACAGCCAGAACTCAATTACAGAGTCAGGCCATTGAAGAGACTACCAGACCACACAGAGTGCACGCACGGGCAACTCTAATCAAGATAAATGACATGGAAGGGAGAAGGAGAGGAAGGTACATGAGTTCAGTGTTAATGAATCAACAATATCCATTCAATAAGTTGTATTTACACAGACACATACATAAAACAAGATTATGTATTGCTCTTTTTACAAAACTATTATGGCCAGAGTTTTGAAGGAAACTAATGCTGCACTTACTCAGAGGAGCAGTTCAGTATTAACTGGTTAAGTGTCCATGCCAACTTTCTGGAACCTACCTAGAACAAACAATGAGAACAAAATGTATACATGCAGTATGTGTGTGTTCCACACTTTTTATTATTAACAATTGTATTTATTTACTTTGCTTTGTTATTGTCAGAAGGAGAAGTTTTCTATTTTGTCTATTTTTGTTTTTCAGTCATTTTGAAGTGACATCAGGAAGTGTACTATAAGCAGTGTGAAGGGAAGGTGACCAGAATTTGTTCGATGCCATTTACTAAGTACTAATTGACAATAATAGTTATTTAATTTTTAAAATATTTCTGTTCTATTGATAGTCTTGTTTTACAAGTTATTAAATTGGGGCTGAAAGACCTGAGGCACCTGGCTGGAGCCTGGCTTTGGACTGAAGTCTGTTGGCTGCGCAGCCAATACTCTTACTTGGACTGCCATTCACTCATCCGTCTGATGTTCCCATCTGAAATATAATCCTGAATAGTCCTTCATGCACCAGAATGTCGTGAGCCTGAATTAGGGGATGTTAGTGTCAGAGAAACACAGTAATTGCAAAACAGTGCTTGTCACATCAGATCTGTCATAGCTCCTCTCTGAAGTACATTTCCTGGGAAAGTGGCAGGAAGTCTAAGGGTCTGCAATGGGTGTTAATGAAGAGCCAGTAGTAGCTCAGAAATCAATATATGACACACTTTCCACGTTGATGTGCTGTGATGGTTCTCCTTGCAATGCCTCATGGAGGACAGTTACTTTCGTGCTCACCAGCGCTGTCGAGAAGGCCCTTTGGGAGTGTTAATGCTAAGTTTCTTCATTAACTAGGAAGATGAAAACCAGGCACTGAGCACTAAACACATTTTAACACATCACTCAAGAGGGGAAGGTCACTTCTCCAATGTTATCCCTCACCCTTGGGTGTTTCCGTGTGATGACTTAGAGAGAAATACCCACCGCACTTATCAAAATGAAGGACTTGCTGATTCACACTGTCCAGCAAAAGCCCTGTCATTGATCC